TCCGCCAAAAAAACCCGGGGTAAAACCCGCTGGGTTTGAAAAACTCAAACCCAACCCAACCCGCTGGGTACCCGTGTGTTTTTGTGGTAAAAAATTTACAATAACAAGTTTATTTCAAAATAAAAGTTTTAACATCAATTTTCTCATACAAATTATTCATACAAAAAACACCAATCTAGAGCATACAAGCAAACCGCAAATGATCAATACAAATTGTTCAAAATTAAAGATAAACATCTATAAACAATAAGATTCATTGAAAGCTTCTTCCTCGTCAACTAAGTTTCTTCACTCTTCAGTCTTCACTTCATAATATCAACTTCATTCTAAACAATTAGAAAGAACAAATTATACATGTCCCTACAAACATAAAGAATATTAGTTGTTTAAGGAACATATATTATTTAGAATATTAAATATATCGATAAATTAATTATATGTGTTGAGCGGGTACCCATGGGGCGGGTTTACCTAAACCCAACCCGACCCGGTGAATAGTGTAGCGGGTTTAAACCCGAACCCGGCCCAAAACCCGTCAACACGGGTTTTACCCGCGTTGACCGGGTTGGGTCGGGTGGGTACCCGTGGGTTCGGGTTTTGTTGCCATCCCTAGGTCCATGGGACCCCCTTGTTACATGCTAGTTACGTGCCTCATTGGGAGCTTCATGTTTTAGGAGATTTTACTGTTTGATCTATAACGTGTGTAGCCCAAAATTAAAACATGATTTTTTCGTTGATCTATTACACTCTGTTTGGCAACGACCCCCAGGGGGGGGGGGGTGCAAATTTGAGGGGCTGCAAATCGAAATGTAAATTGTAGGGGAGAGTACATTTAAGAAGGTGTAAATTATTGTTTGGAAGAAAAAAGACGGAGTGCATAATGAGGCATAAGATATAAATTTTAATGTAATAATGAAATAAAATAAATAATAATTTACAATATTGGATCCTATCCCTTATTTCCTTTCTCACAGATATGGCTTCACTCACTTTCTCTAATTCCCTCGTCTTTTGTTGTTGTTGAAAGACGAAAGACTTAGCATCCTAATTCATAAAACTGATAGAACGATTCATGGAGATAGCAATGAAGTCATACAACAACTATTTACAAAGGTTCGGTTCATACAGATTGAAAGGATGTGTACCGAAAGGGTCATATGACCCTTCCTTGCGAAGTAATCGGCAACGTAATTACCCTCTCTATACACATGGGAGACCTTAACCTCCCATTCAAAATAAAAAAAGTTTTCCAATGCGTGCAATGATGAGTCCATGGCGATTATCCACACCCTTGTGGTTCTTCATGATACTGTATGCAGTTGATGAATCGAGATTCAGCTCAACCTTGCGAAATCCTTTCTTCCAAGCCCTTTGAAGGCCAATTTTGGCTCCTTTAAGTTCCGCCATGGTAATCATACAGTTCCTTAAGTTGCAAACAAAGACATTGTGGCATCTTCCAAAGTGATCTCGATTTAAACCCCTTACCGCTGCATTTACTGAATTTTGTAGCACTGATCCATCGGTTTGGATCTGGATCCAATTCTCTCTAAGTGGTTTCCACGCAATAAGTATGTAAATGTACTGGTTTTTTTTGGGTAGAATGATGCTTCTTTCGTCATTGATCCTTGCTTGCTGGTAGACCCGAATCCAAGGCTAATGAGTCCTGCTTCTGAGAATCTTTTCCCATCCAGAGTCTCATAATTTCTCTGCTTCTAACTCAGCCAACAAGTAATTCCAAAGTTAGTCCATCTGTCCTCATCTTTAAGGATGTGCATCAGCCATTGCTTGAAGCTCTTTATGTCCTGAGGAGAGTGACCAATCTTGAAGAAAATTTTGACCCCCTCAGTTTTCCTACAACATCTGAGGATATGTTCAATCGTTTCAAGCCCTCCATTGCACGCCTTGCAGCTGCCATCAGTAGTCAGCTTCCTGATTGTTATTTCGTAGTTGGTGAGAAGTCTGTTGTGCAGAACAAGTCAGAGAAAATGCTTAACTCTGTTTGGTCCTCTCCACTCCCAAAGTTCCTTCCAACCTATTTGAGGCTCCTTTCCAATCTCGTTGGCAACAAACAGATAAGCCGATTTGAGTCTAAACCTTCCATCCTTTTCAAGCCCCTAGATTTTAGTGTCTTCTCCCATTCCTTGGACTGGCACTTCCATCCTTACAATATGAGAGAATCACTCATTAGGCAAGAGTGATTTAAGTTTGGTCCAATCCCACTCACCCTAGTCATTCACCATCTCAGCGACAATGGTGCATTTCTGTTCATCAGTCAGGGTCTTAAAACTGTAATCCCCCAGGATGTTGTCGTGTTCAATCCAAGGTTGATTCAAGAAATCAGTCGTTTTCTCATCCCTGATGCTCCAAAATGTGGTTTTTGCATAAAATTGTAGCTTTAAAGATGCCTCTCCATAGGCTAGAATGATTGCTACTTTTCATTCCCAAAATCTCTCCTTCTCATTGATGGAAGTACTTCCCTTGCATCACTATCACCCATAATTTGTCTTTGTTGTTTAAAATCGTCCATGCTAGCTTCACCATATAGGCAAGGTTGAGACTCCAAGCTGGTATGAGTCCCAAACCTCCTTGCTGCTTCGGGCTACAGATCTTGTCCCATGAGACAAGACGCACCTTTCTTTTCCCTTCTTATGATGCCCAAACAAACCATCTAATCCTGCGATCAATATCATCACAAACAGATATAGGAAACATGGTAGTTTGCACATCATAATTAGAAATCACATTCAAAATCGACAATGCGAGGGTAACTCTGCCAACAAGGGATAGAGTCTTAGCTTTCCAAGCTGTAAGTCTTCGATCAATCTTCTCCAATATGTACTTATAGGTGTTCTTGGAGATTCTTACAAAGAGGACAGGTACCCCAATGTACCTTCCAAGGTCGTCAGTTTCGTGAATCACCAATTTTTTGCAGATCTCCCTCCTGCTAGGATTCTTAGTATTTTTGGAGCACAAGACCCTGGATTTGTCTTTGCTGATCTTCTCACCCGATGTAGAGCAGAAGTCTTCCAGGCAGTTTATCACCACATCCGCTTGTCTCGGGTTAGCTTCAGCAAATAACACCAGGTCGTCTGCGAAGAACAAATGGGAAAGAGGAGGTCCCCCTAGTGACAGGCACAACGACTTCTAGTTCTTGTCTCTAACAAATTTCTCAATATAGGGGCTCAGCCTTTCAACTCAAAGGGCGAACATGTATGGTGACAGCGGGCATCCTTGGCGCAATCCCCTACTATGAGAGAAACTCTATGATTCACCAACGTTCTAGAGCACATGCATCTCAGTAGAAGAAACACATTGAATAACAATTGAAACAAATTGGGTTGGGAAGTCAGCAAGATGCAGAGTTTGCTGGAGAAAGCTCCAGTCAATTTGATCATAAGCTTTTTCAAGATCAATCTTCGTTAGCATCATTCCTTTTTTTCCTATTTTTTTGGCCATCGTATGAACCGTTTCGTGCAAAATGAAGATATTATCAGTAATATACCGTTTAGAAACAAAGCTCGTTTGGTTCTGTTCACAAGGTTTGACATTAGTCCTTTGATCCTATTAGCCAAACATTTGGCCACAGTTTTGTACCCAATATTACATATGCTAATTGGCCTGAACTCATTCATGGAAACAGAGGAATCATTCCCTGGAATTAAGTTCAGCAACGCTCACATAATTTCAATAATTTTAAACTTAAAAGGAAAGAAATGTTCAAACATATTAACGCTTAATTCATAAATCATGTGAATCATTTATTTTATAATACTGGTATTGGTAATTGTCTACAAATTATAAAATCTTCAACTGATAAACATAGTTTAAGCTCGATAATAACCAAGGTTGAAAAAACACTAAGCATAAGGCAAAAGTTTTGGTTTTGCCTAGCGCCTCATTCGCCTAGGCGTTGTGAGCATAAAGAGCTTTTTAACCTATAGTGACAAATTACAATTTCTAATTGAGGGGGGGGGGATTGAAGTACGAATCAGTGGTAGTTTGAGATGGCGTCATCTTGGGGAAGACAATTGTCTTTTTTTGCCATTTGTCTATTAGTATGATTAAGTGTATCTCCAATTGTCTAAGTACAACTCACAACACAATTCTTTGATCGAAATTGAGAGAAATTTTTGTGATTTTTAGGGTTTCATTTTTGGTAAATCTATATGTTAGAGCTTCTATTGTGTGAGGTTAAAAAGTTGGGTGGGTCAGTGGGTCGTGTGTCAACCACAATCAGCCACCCAATTTATTGCGAGTCACCTATTTTACAACCCAGATATGAAGGGGTCATTTGAAAGTTGCGAATATTAAATCGTTGCATTGTAATGAATCACCATAATATAAATGCATATATTGATACAATGGATGCATTTTAACAATACATTGTTTGGTTGTTGAGATTCTACTTTATGCATTGATTTACATAAAGTTATTTTTATGGAAAAATGTCATATTTACCAACTTTTAGTATAAGACAAAAAACTATTAAGGATATAAATGGAAAGAAAAAGTTGAAACAAATCTAAAAGGAACAATCACAACTTTTAGACTTTTAGTTGAGATTGTATAATGCATCATTTTTTGTGATTGTTTGTGGGACCTATCTAAAACAATGCATGCATTGTTTTACATTTTGACACTTCCAAATATTGTATTGTACGCAATACATATATTCAACAAACACAACTCTAACAATCACAACTTCCAAACCAACCCGAAGTATTCCAACCGATTTGTGTCTAGGACTCTCGGTACAACCAATATCCCACCAATATTGACAACCATGAGCCGAACCACAACCGCTACTGAATACGATGTCGTTCTCTCTCCCGCGAATCGATAACGAATTTCTTTCGTTGCTTGTAAAATTTACCCCTTTTTCTTCTGCGCTCCACTTTCTTTCTCATCCCCTATTAGTATTACATCTCCACAGTCGGTCTCTGAACTCGGTGGCGGCTCGTCTCACAACCCCCAGCTCGCCCTCCCTCCCTCCGCTCGCCATGGGAGACCACCTCCAGCAGCCTGACGAAGAACGCAGTGAGTTCAGTGACAGCGGCAAGAGGAAGTTGGAGGACACAATCGAACTCGCCAAACAGAAAGCTCAAGAAATCGCCGCTCGGCTTATTAGCGACGCCGCCGACCCCAAGCGGCAGCGCCTCGGTTCGGAAAATCCCTCGGAGCCTTCTCCATGGACTAATTCCGCCCCGCCAGCTCCTTCTTATCCTGGTTAGTGCTCCTCTTCCCTCATTCTCTCTGTGTCCGCCCGCGGTTTCTAGGGTTTTAGCTCCTGCATTGTAGTTTTTGCTCTATGCTGGAAGTGCTTCGGGACGTGGAATGGATTGTCTGGAGGTTGCCAAACGTTTGTGATCTTTTGAGCTTTTTGGTTCGGGAATGGTGAAACTAATCGTCTTCGGGAAATGTGGCGTTTGGACTTTGGATACATATATTTAGAGGCGTTATGCTGTGTGCTGTCTATTTTGCTCTGCTCATGCGTCACACTAGAAGAAAAAGGGAAGCAGGTGTTGGAAGTATGAGTCTCTGAAAATCTGTCTCATTGCTGATTCATAGTGGACGTAAAAAAATCTAGTCTTCGCACAAGCGTCCAATGGCTTGCAAGGATCCGCTTATCATGTCTCAGATGCAGTTTTTTTTTTTTTTTTTTTTTTTTTTTTTTGTGTTTGTAAAGGATTAGTTTCGCGTCGAGCTTTAAATTGAACGCGCTGTGCAGCTATTATGCAGTATACTATAATAGTTGAGAGTACAAGTGTTTCATTGGAGCTTAGTAATCCGGTAGTTGGTGTGTGTTACTTAAGTATTGGAAGAATTAGTCGTGTTCTTTGATGCAGTTGAAGAAATGGAGCTCTGAATACTGTACCAGTTTAGATCTTCATATGATAATTTCTTACCCAAATTGCATTTCAGTTTCATATGCTGCTCAAACAAGTCAATACGGTGTTCAGAGCAGTAAGAAGATCACTATACCCAATGGCAAGGTATGTGAGATTGAATTGGTTCCTTCTGTTCTAAGTTCACACCTTTTTCTCATCCTTCTTGTGCTATAGGTTGGGGTTGTTATAGGGAAAGGAGGAGAAACAATCAAATCAATTCAACTTCAATCAGGGGCGAAGATACAAATTACAAAGGACCAGGAAGCTGATCCCCATGCTCTAACCCGGGACGTGGATTTGACGGGTACTCCAGATCAAATTAGCAGAGCAGAGCAACTTATAAATGATACTATCTCGGAGGTACATTTATGCCTCTTCCTAGTCCATCCAACTCAACAGATCCTTCATGGGCCTCTTCTTCTGCGCATGGGTGCTTTTTCTGTTATAATCATGATCATGTTTAAATTTCTGGAACAGGCAGATGCAGGGGCCTATTCCAACTCTTCACAGGGGTCAAATATAAAGCAATATGGAGCTGAACAGTTCTCTATAAAAGTTCCAAATGACAAAGTGGGTGTCATGATAGCTATTGCTCATATTAATTCAAACATGAGAATGATGTTTGTCCTTCTCATTGAATTATGTTATGTTGATGGTGTAGGTGGGATTGCTCATTGGGAAGGGAGGTGAAACTATAAAGTATATGCAAAACACATCTGGAGCTAAGATGCAGGTGAGTTTGAAAACTAGCAATGACATGATTACTAACTTGGATCTCCATTGGGTCCTAGATGCTTGATGGTTTCCTCAAGGTAGTGAAAAAAAGTTATATAGTTCTTTCTTTTCTTTGATTTGAAGCAATTTTACATGTTTAGACTCCAGAAGAACACAATTGTCTTTTATCAAAGGCTTATTTACTCTTAATTGAGTTATAGCAAGTCCTTTTGTATTGATAGCGAGTATCAATCTTCGAAGTACTTGCAACTTTGTCTGGAGATTATGAGGGTGTTCAATGAAATTTCTTTTCCCCATTTCCTTACAATCGTGATTCACCCATGTCCCATTACCATACCTATGTTTCAGCCCTTATTAATGTGAATTAATCGCCGAACTTTATATTCTGGTTTCTTAGTACCTTCTTGCAAGTTGGATGACATGCTTTATCTTCAGATTATTCCCCTGCACCTTCCACCTGGTGATCCAACAACTGAGAGAACTGTATACATAAATGGTACTGCAGAACAAATTGAGGCAGCCAAAGAATTGGTAAACGAGATAGTTAACGGGGTAAGTCATTATACTCGATTTTCACAGTTCAGATCTTTAATGTACAATAAATATTATACCATCACAACTTTTGGTTTGTATTTAGCATCATTATTAGATGAATAGATTTGTTGCAATGAGGGCATTCATGTTCGGTGAACCTGTAAGATTGACTTCAAAGTTTGACTGCACGATGTTTGTTATACTGTTATTTCCACTAATATCTATGATTAATTTATGCAGAAACGGATCCAAACTTCAGCTGGAACTAACACATACCAACAACAAGCTTATCAGCAGCCTCCTTACTGGGCTTCAGGAGGACAACCTCCGATGCAAGAACAGCAGACCCAATATGGTTATCAGCAGCCCGGAACTCATCCTACTCCTCCTGCATACTATGGTAACTATGCTACTCAACCACCAGCTTGGGACCAGTCAAGCCAATCTACTCCTCAACCGCCTCACCAATCAACTGGCTATGGTTACTATGGACAACATCAACCACAAATGGGAGCAGCACAAGTTAATCCCAACTATGGCTATGGGCAGGCACCCGGGGCTACTGCCAACAACTACAGTCAGGGTTACGGTCAACAGCCTTCAAGTTATGGGCAGGGTCAGGCAGCGCCAACAAATGACCAGCAAAAGCCATATCCAACTTCGGGTTATGGACAAAGTACTGATGGGACAGCAGCATCATCTCAGCCGAGTCAAGAAGTTCCTGCATATCCCCAGGCTGCCTATAATCATCCTTACTGGAATTCTTCTGGGTACCCAGGTCAACCAGCAGCTGCTCAAACAGGTTATGATCAGACCGGTTACTCACAAGCGGCTTACGGGACAACCACTCAGCAAGGTTATGGACAAGGTGGGTATGCTGCTCAGCCTCCTGCTGCTGGAGATTATGGTCAAGGTGCATATTCCAGTGGTGGTTATGGCCAACAGCAAGTGGAGACGAATCCCCAGACAGGGACAGCGGCCAATGGAGCTACGGAATCCGGAGGTTATGAGGTTACCACCAACAATGAGAATGGTGGGCAGTCGGGAGATGGCTCGAGCAATGGTGTGAAAAAAGAAGGGGCGCCGCCTTCTGAATCTTGAAAACAGCATCGAGGATTTGACATTTGTATGTTTAGTTGTCTATGGTCTCTTCTTGTCTGCTTCCTGGTTATCCCTTATGCACTTGTATACTAAATTTGCAGGGTCGAAAAGAAACGATGTCTAGGCTTTTATGATGTTGCGAAATTTTGTCTAAGATGATTATTTGATGTCTGAAACGGGTTAAGCTGTGTAACAAACAATTAGAATGACTTCTATCGAAGCAGATCTCTCTACACTGCCTTCTCTGTTTCAGCCTTGTGGCGAATTTCGACTATTGGATCTGTCTGATATAGGTAAACTATGTAAGATCAATTTACATTGGATGTTTGATATAGCCATACAGGTGAACTATGTACCAATGTTTTTTATGGGATGTCTGACGCAATTGAACTATGCAAGAACAATTAGAAAGACGTTTAACTATAACAAAGATATGTAGTTTATTGAGAACCTTGTGAAAAAAAGGATCGGCATCGCAATGGTAACGTGTCTGATTCCATATCAGAAGGTGCCCTGGGAACACTTTGTGTATTACACTAACATAATTATTTACTAAACTCACAATATACTGATTTAGACAATTCTATTGACAAGTCTTAATTTTATTTTAGTATATTTGTAGCATATGAATTGGTGAAATCTTAGCTGAAATGCTGAAGAAATGCTAATCAAATGAAGAGAAAACAAATTATAACTTCATCTATTTGGTTTGGTTGATTAAGCATGATTACTACTCTTTACGTCACAAAAACTTGCTGAACTAACACATCAAGTACTCACTGTATTTACCATTTACTCCAACTTGATCCGAACTCACGAATCCAACTATGAACATACGAGTATAGCGAGAAACCCAAGATCCAAACCATCTCCGAGTTTGAGAGGGTTTGGTCGAGTTAGTGCACGAATTTATGATGTATGTGACATGACAAGTATTTTTGACATGTTTTGTCGACTCGCTCAACCTAATAATAAATTTGACGAAATAAAATTTAGTGTTTTTTTTGTTCATAGTACCTTGTTTAGATAGCATTTTCTTACAGATTTGAGTTTAATGACCTTTTGTTACAAATCTCACAACATTTGATAGATCTTGTTTTCTATCGGGTTTCAGATCGAGTATGATATTAGGAATTCAAGGACTAGAACTGAGAATTAAGGTTTAGGAGATATAATTAGAGATTCGGAGAAGAATTAGGAAAGAATTGGGGAAGAGCTAGGAAGAAAGAGGGATAGATGGCCGACATCCTAGAAAAGAAGAGAGAAGAGGTTGAGAGTGGAGAGTGGAGAGTGGAGAGAGATTAGATGTAGGGATATATTTTTTTAATTATTGATTCAGACGTAATGTTAGTAGTCTCAATTGGGCGGGCTGGGTCGGGTTCGGATTGGGTCTAACCGGGTTGGGTTCAATCTTGTTGCGAGTTCAATCGGATCGGTTCCAATTTGGATCGGGTTTAATTGGGTTGCAGGTCAATTGGGTTACGATTCAATCAGGTCACTGGTCAAATGGTTATGGATCGGGTCGGGTTACGGGTGCATCAAATTACGGGTTTATTGGATTGCGGGTTAATTTGGGTTCGGTCAGGTCGGATAATGGGTTATTCGGGTCAACCCATTGGATCATTTACTTCTTGACAGAAAATAATGTCTTACAAAATTTTAGAAAATGATAATATGATAATACTTTACACATGCAAATTAAATATCCATTATGTTAGTATAAAAACTAAATATAAATAAAATAGTGTATATAAAAGCTTTGTTGTTGGTTATAATTTTTTTGTTTATGGTGAGAGATTGTAACTTCACTTATTTTATTAATTTATAAAAAAATTGAATCAGTAAAAATTTGAGAATGAAGTAAAAAAGGTTGACTATATGCTTATACATCTCGAAATGAATCATCTTAATTAAATATAGTATGAACTAGATGTGTATCTCTTCACTTCCACGAAGACTTATGAACATCATTCCGAATCACCCACTTATATATCTTCACAATTTTTTATATATTCACGGTAACATCTCATCCTAAAACTCATGGGTTGAACAACGATTCGCTCAAATATGATATTATCATCTAGTTCAAATCGTTGATTTATTAATTTATAAAAAATAAATAAAATTATTAAAAAGTTGAGAATGAAGTAAAAAGCGTAAACTATCCACTTATATATCTTGATAGGGATCATTGATTTTGGGGATTTCATTGATTTTCAAGGGTTGATTTTTTTAATATAGTTATAGGTGGTGGAGATACGAATTTGTGTCTAACTCTTCCTATTATTTTCAAAAATTTATCCTTTGAATTTCATAAAATAAAAAATGAATGAAAAGATATTTCACATATTATTATTTTAGAAATTAAATATTTAAGAAAAAACCTCAATTTATACCATCAATTCTACAAATAATTTTCAATTATTATGAGAACGACAGTTCTTTCTTGGTAAATTTTAAAATATAATAATATATACATTGAATTTTTATACAAGCATTCGGGTCAAATGGGTTATTCGGGTAATTCGAGTTGCGTTTGGTTCGGTTACAGGTTATTTGGGTTATGAATCATTCGGGTTATAGATGAATCGGGTTATGGGTTGGATCGGATAACGAGTTCATCGAGTTATGGGTTGATCGGATTATGGGTCAATTGGTTTCGTGTTACGTGCGGGCTTCGGGTGGTTGACTTTTTGTCAAATTGGGTTACAGACGGGTTGTGGGTCGGGTGGGTTAGTCGGGTCGGGTTCAATTTTGACAGGTCTACTTAATGTCAAAGTACATATTTATAAGGAATAATGAGAAATCCTAATAATCAACCTAATATGACTAAAATACTATTAACAATAATCATTATAATTATAATAATAAAACCCAGAAAATTGGTGTCTGCCATACCTCCTCTCCCTTGAGACCAACTTTGCCCTCAAGGTTGTAGTTAACATCAGTTTTCTTAACGTTCCTCTTTTTTCGTTTCTAATTGCGCTCGAACTCACGAATGAATCCTTCTCCAGCAGCTCCAACGTCCCTCAGCTCTTCTTCAATCTCATGACACATGTCTCATTGTCCACAACCAAACAATTTTTCATCTTCCTTTTCAAAATCCACAAAATAAGAGTACGAGAACTGCTCTTTCTTGTGTCCATCATCATTACCCACCTTGTTCTCTTCAATGGCCCATTCCATACTTCCACCACGTGCATGGTGGTGATTATAGTTGTCAATCGGGCTGGTTCGGGTCGGGTTCAGTCGGGTCGCGAGTTAATCGGGTTGCGGGCCAAACGGGTTGCGGGTCAAGCGGGTTCGGGTTGATCGAGTTGCGGGTTGATCGGGTTGCGGATCAGTCGGGTTACGGTTGATCGGGTTGCGGATCAATCGGGTTCGGGTTGATCGGATTGCGGGTTACAACAGGTCGGGTTGCGGGTTGTTCGGTCCACACCATCGAGTTTTTTTATAATTAGTTATTACACTATTTGTTTTTAGGGAGTTATTACACTAATTTAAAACAAACTCACCGATCACCATATTGCAATGAATAAAACATGAATGTACATTATTAAACAAATGAATGACTAGATTTTGCTTGAATGTATCATAAACAAGTTTGATGTTGCTAGTTGTTGGTACCTTTTAGAGGATTCATTAAGGTTACAGAACCAACATAAATAAATAGTTGAACAACAAGAAATTAAAAAGCTGACAACTAGTTTGATCATAAACCTATGAAACCATCTCTTGAATCTTGATAGTTGAGAGTTGAGACTGTACATGGGCGCTGGGCCATGCTTGGGCCGGCACAGCACGGGCCCATCTCGTGCCCATATTTTTCGTGCCATGCTAGGCACAACCCATTAAATTTCGTGTCGTGCCATACAAGCCCATTTAACAGTTTTATTAGGCCCGGCTCGGGCCCAAGCACGAGTCAAGCCGTGCCGTGCCTGATCATGTCTATGTCGTGCTTTTATTTTGTTCACATTCGTGCTTTCTAGTATAATTTAACTTTCATTCTTATTTTATATGGTAACACACACTTTTAATATTCCTTACTCAACTTCATCTACAAATTATTAACTTCCATACTAATATCTAGCACTGCATTTTCGCGTAGCTAATTATAAACAGCTAGTCATATATCCACTATACATATATTAACATGCAAATTGAAAATACGAACTCTTTGTAACATTAGATTCTAACATTAATATGAATACAACCGATACAAATATCATTTCTGGATCAGTGGTAAATAACATACAATTTTTTTAAAAAAAAACTCAAAGGTAATCCCCTATCTAAAATACGAAGGCTCTTATGATAAGAAAAGAAAATTTGGCTTTCTAGGGTTGATTGATGCGAGAAGAAGGTAGTCTGGGTAAGGACAGTGGACTCGAAGAAGGGGCAGGGTAGCTCAATCAAATTGATGTGCGATTGATGGACAAACTTTGAGCGATGGTGGGGGTCGGCGATCTCAAGACGCAAGAGTTAATATATTTGGTTACAGAAAAGGAGGGGGGGGGGGGAATTTTGGGCCAAATTTGGGGGGTTCAAATTCAAACGTTTCTTTTGCGGGTTTGGGGAGGGAACTTTGGACCAAATTTTGGGGTTAAAAATGATTGTTTCCTCAAATATTTGGGGTTTATAAAATCAAATTAAGATGTACATTTGAATATGATATATTTAAGATGTACATTCACAAGTTAAATTAATTGTTAAAATCAAATTAATTAATAAACTATAAAAAATAAAATATCTATCACAAAGCATAACCATGAAGAAATCCTAACCCTAAACCCTAAACCCTAACCCTATAACACCATTTTAAATATGAAACCTAAAACTAACCTTAACCATCAATCATACATTATCCTAAATCACAACATTAAGTAATTAACCCTAAAACTAACCTCAACCCTTAACCATAATTCCATAACCCAAACATGCAAACAATGAACTCTAAACCATGACCCTATACAATAAGCTACAACGTATGTTATGTGAAG